TAAGAATTCCACAAGATCACAGTGATTTAGCAGATGATTCATTTTTAAGAAATATTATTTCAAACACATAAAAAACAGACTTTCCTCCAAAAAAATGTACATAGCTGATTCATGCAAATGGCATCCATCAAAAACGATGCATCATCAACTGAGCTTCTAATGAAAACAGTCACAGATAGATGGGGGCATCAACATAGATCTGCTGAGACAATTGCCCCGTGTTCCGCTTTGCCCCGGGTTCCCCTACTACATTCGACAAAATTATAATGACAGATACGCGTGAGCTCTCCGTGTGTACCTCAACGGAATTTGAGATAATTGAGCTTATGACAATAACACTTCAACTAACAATGTTTATTTGTAATGACACTGTGTAAGGAAACTAATTGTGTGCTATAAATCAACCCAGTTAGATGGCAATAACGCGATGTTGCACAGACGTTCACCTAACAATTGAGACGTCACGACTTACTTTCAACAGATAACAACAGTTTATTCATTAACATAACTTATATACACTTTCTAACATTAACATTCGACAACCCATTCACTATTCACATCGCCTTCTTAACAAATCTCGTAAACTTCTTCTCGGCATATGAGCATCGCGAAGTGCACCACCAGTGCCACGACCACCCGCTTAACAACAATAATACAGATCATAATATGACGTATGCAAATATGAAATAGATTAGCTTTTACACTCCTTATACGTCGAAGGTAGGAAGCCACACAACAATATATGTAACGCTCACGTCCTTGCCATATATCAACCTCAGTTACGGTCAGTACCTCACCGGGACTGAGAAGGCGAGAGAACCATTCATTGGCCTTTATTTAGCCAGACAGCTCTCGAGGCTATACTTCACGTAAAACTCTGTTATACATTTACACCAACCAGTTCTGTCTATTATACGGCACGCCTGAAAGGCCTTGCACTCTAATATAGCTGCCGGAGTGCTATACCCTGTCTTACCAGCCGCAGCAGAAGCGCCACGGGATCAATCTTACCTACTCGATATCCATACTTCTAATCGCACGTGAAATTATATGGCATTGCAAGTCCTCAACTTTCGAGCATTTATCTCACAGTTAAATATCATTGGATTACATCGGAGGTATCGGAGCATGTACATTAAAAGCGCTATTAGACCGTGCCAGGAAACATCAATATTGTACAACCGATCCTATGTTCGTTTTAGATAAATAACGTATAGGTTAACATACGTAAAAGGGGTTCTATACGACACGATAACGTATCTAACGGTATACGTAAAAGGCGCACAACAGTCTAAGACTATATTGAAGCGCAAGAACCATTCAACAATTAAGGGGTTTAGGTTTGTGGTCATAGCATTGACAACCACCTAACTCCAATATCACTGCACCAGGAGTGTCATAATATAGATGTGTCTATATAATGATCTATATTATGTCTATATTATCAAGAGCGTATAAAGAAGGTTCTTATACCTTATACCTTCTTATACCTTATACCTTCTTTATACGCTCTTGATATTACGGCACTCCTGATTGCACCTAATGCAAGTTACACTCTGTAGCGGTAGCTCTCTTGAAAGTGCGCGTACTCGAGTCATATATACGTGTATAGATAAGCTGTCACAGCATTCTAATGGTGTGACTAATAGTTGTAATTCAAGAATGTATAGTCAACACTGATTGTGGACACGAAACTAGACCGGACGTTCCTTAATGCGGTGCAGTGATGGTCTGTCTCTTCACTGTTCTATTAACAACGTAACGACATAGAGCACCAGTCTATCAGGAGTGTCATAATAATATAGATATATATTATCAAGAGTACATAATAGAGATGTACTCCTTTTATGTCTCTATTATGTACTCTTGCATGATATTATGACACTCCTGAGTCTATCATTGCGGCCCCTCCCTGCTACCGAAACATCAGGAGTACATTAATGAGAGACTGAACTCTCCCCCCAATCCCTGAACCCTCTCCATTCAACAAGAATAAATCCAGGTACTACCTAAACATATACTGATATCTTGACATTAGACTGTCATTGCAATAGGTGTTGGTATGTAGCACGGTAGTCAGCACACTGCACACGCGTCACAGGTGATATAATAGGTGATATGTTACTAAGTGTTACACGTATATACATCTACGCAAACTCCAATCGATATATTGATTCACTATAACATCAAAGATACATGAGAATCACCATCACCATATAAAGGTGCACGTAACAGCAAACCACAATCGTAATCACGCATGCAGGAAATCCATAAATATGTTACAATATGGAAGTATTGCGCATTTATCGTCATTAATTAATCGGTCATTAATGAACTAAAGACAATATTCATAACTATATACTACTAAACACGTGCATATGCTAGTTTACATTCCATGTTATTTTAAAGACATGGATTTAATCATTAAACAGCACTACCGAAAACGCTGACTTCACGATACCGCCATTCCCGTGCCAAACAGAGTACAGCTAAAACACAACCTGCAGTTATTATAAACACTATAGCAACTAGTGTGTGCAATGCGTAGTATGAAACGGTAGTCAGCGTCACCCATGCACAGAGAAGCTTACACAGACAGCAGATAACGGCAAATACAAAAGAACTGCATGGGAAGCAATTGAGCCTCGATCACTATTGCCTGCTTTAATGCCACACACGTTACATCCACGTGAAAAACGGACTAACATTCAGAACCAGCTTATGTAAACAATTATGCATTTATTGCCTGATTAACTCCACATTACTACCCATACGGCTAAATTAGGAGGTTTCTCGTTGAAAAGTAATTTACCTGTCTGTTATATTATATTATCAGGAGTCTATCAATAGTCTATCAGGAGTCTATCAATAGTCTATTGATAGACTCATGATATTATAATAACATATTACATTCGGTTGGGTATATTATATATGAAATTTAATATCACAGACTAAAATTAATTATTCTAATCCCCCCACCCACTCACCAATCCGAAACATCAAAACTAGCACCAAACGATGTGCAGCTCTGTCGTGTGACAGTATATACCCACTAGAATTCATTGACGTAATCAACGCGTGAATTCAACCGAGTGGTGTTCCCCCTAATAGTCAATATGGTTATAAAAATAGCAGAGCTCGCGCGTCACGCAGTAAGTTATTTACTATTTGATTTTAATCCCACCTATCTACAATTGGCATTTGGCTCATAATAATAAAACCGCGTAAGCGAGAGTGAGCCCTAACCAGTACAGTGGCGCTTACTGTACCGAACATATTGCTCGTCGCGCACGCGCACTAGGCCCGACATTACCCTCAAGCTACTTCGCCTGACCGAAATAGCTCTCGCAAATCAGCTATGTTCAGTTCTTGCATCTGTCTCCTGTGAGATTTTGTGCAATTCCGCCTACGCATTGCGAAGCTGTACAGTCAGTAAACAGATCTGAATAAAACTGACTACAAAGAGGCATTCGGAAATATAAAAGAACGTAACGTTAGGCAGCCACTGGTAAAACGCCTGCTTTATATAATGTCCAGGCATAAAAATGGGGATACAACTATAAATACTCGTCAATCATTAGCACCCGATTACAATACAGACCTTGGCGTTTTGGAGGAGTGCAAAAAACCTAGAATACGTCATAAGCTTAGGAGAACAAAACTGCATTACCAGCTGATTACAACAAACTATCACAGAACACCAACTTGTTACTATAACCACGTGGCATCTAGACGGTTGCCCCTATATTCTATACTGGAAGTTATCTATAAATCTTGCAAACACTATCCAGTTTTATAGTTGCTAGTCTCTACTATATGAGTATATCCCTTATTATTCGGTTTACTAACAAAAGAAACTGCACACTGCAAAACACTGATTATATGTACTAATCAAAAGTGCATCAAGGAAGGGTCCAACCCTTTGCCCACCTGGCTAGCATAACACTCGATCTGGTAATTAACACCATAATTATTATCCCAGTAGAATTGATCGTTAGCAATATACTGAATGCAAAATTCAATCTTTGAACCCACAGGAAATCCTGGCGGCGCCGACAGGCTGAATGTGAAGCGGTCTGACGGTCCATCACAAGAGCCCGTAATATAGGTGGCGTTGCTCTCTCTGCTCGTCGCCCAACCATCCATTGTGTACTTGATAAGCACTGCCTTGTGGAAGGCAATGTTAGCCACGCGGATTGTTACCGACGCTGTTCTCTCCATGACGATGCAGTTCTCTAGACACACCTTCTTCTCCTGTACGCGATCGAGGAATCCGAACGAAGCGCCAGGCTGCGAAAACGACGCAGCAAGATATTTCGCCGGCATCAGCAAATCGAAATTCAGAAGCGGCCCAGACGCTGGCTCGTCTGCGGCGGAACGATAGGAATCCATCACGCGCCCCGGTATCTTCGGCGGCCCGTCGCCCTTCAGAATGTGACGCACGGACTCAAGGTCGAGGCCCATGGCGTCCGCAAAGCGGACAGCCTTCTTGCGACTCGGTGTTCCCGGCGGCGTCTTCGCCGTCCTGAGAGACGAGCTGCGTATTAGCGACCCGCGGTCGATGCAAAACTCATCCTGCTCCGGGCTGTTCGGGCTGACAGGAAACTTCCCCGAGAACATCAAGTCGTCGGCGACGTTGATGAACAGCGGTCCCGGCGGCGGGGAAAGCAGGGAAGAGCTGCATCCGGAGTCGGCGTCGCAGTCGTCGTCGCCGGCGCGACCGGCGTCGTTGTTGTTGTCGCCGGTGTCGTCGCCGTTGGTGATGATCGTTGTGATCTCACCGTGGCAACACATGCCGATGCCCTCATCGCCGCCCTCGTGGTTCTGCTCGGCCACGGAATTCATGGCCGCTGGTTCCACCACGCTCACGAAGTCGTGTCCAGTGGCTGTTCCATTCGAGAGTGTGCACAGTGGCCGTTTGTCTCCGCCTTGCCACGTTACGTCTACTCCGTGTACCAATGCCTCCTGGTCGGCCATTTCTCGATATGCGCCATTCACGTGCCGGCCGTTCTGCGATCTCCTCTGGCGACCTATGCACGGCTGGCACTGAGAAAGCTGGCTTGGCAGGCACAACCAAGTGGTATCGTCCGTGAACATTACAGCTGATGCCTAGTGGGTAACGCGATATTCGCTGGTGCTGCCCGTGGTTGTTTTTAGTGTACCATAACCTACTCACGCGGGGCGAGGGGGCGGGCGTTGAATTCACCTCACTCGCGTTCCCCAACTGCGCACAGTAGCAGCGGTGGCGGTCGTACGTGCGTGCGTGCGTCCGTAAGAGAGTGCACGCGTTCGTGCGTGAGTGCGCGCGTTCCTGCACGCTTCTGTGAGTGCCTGCGTTCGTGCGTGCGTGCGTGCGTGCGTGCGTGCGTGTGCGTTGTCGTCGCACCACGGCTACCCTCGCCAGCCGTGAGACAGTGTGCCTCGTGTATGATAAACACTGTGATGTTATCCACTTCCTCCACCGCGCTGTTGGATCGGGACAACCGGTTGCAAACGTAAACAAGGCGGCACCGACCGACCGTGACCCTCACACCTATCACAGGCCGCACTAGCACAGCGATTTCTAGCTGCTAGCGTCCACACTAAACGGCGCACAACAACAACGATGGCCACCGCTCTCAGCTGACACGCACCGCCCGCCGCCTACGCGTACGAGAAAAATCAATATTGAGGGCTTGAGGGAATGACTCTTGTTCACAGCCCGCCGTCATTATACATATCTTTACCTACGACCATAACGGTCACAGCGTTTACATTACCAAACCAATATTTAAAAGAATAACAGCGGACCTCGTAACCGCTACAGTACACAAGACAAAGTCCTGTCGAAGGAATGATACTAATTTCAAGCACTGGCAGCAAGATCAAGCCCGCGCGTACAGCACACACGCGGCGCCATTGACTATATATATACAACCTATGTTGTATATATATATATATATATTGTATATATATATATATATATAATACATATGTTGTATATATATAGTCAATGGCGCCGCGTGTGTGCTGTACGCGCGGGCTTGATCTTGCTGCCAGTGATTTCAAGGCGAGGAGTATTGTCGCTAGTAAAGCTGCCTACCCCTTTCCTAGAAAAATAACTGAGTCCACTCTTAACGGCTTTGGTCGATCGCTTTCTATGGTAACAAAATCCCTTCTTACAGGGGCAAATTAGGCAAATACCTAGTTCATTCAAATTGGGCGGGCTCTCGCGGTTCATTTTACAGAAATTTCTGGCACTCGCGATATTTCATTGTTCGGTTTAATTATTAGATCAAAACAATAAGTCTCGTCTGCGAATAGAGGCAATCGTTCGGACTTTTAACATGAAAAATGTTTATTATTGACATGTTCTACCGAGTTGATGTTCAGAATAACATGATAGTTTACATCGTGTTCTGCATCGCTTTGTAGATTTTTCTCTATTGTATAAATGTGCTTTATAAAATCTACATACTGTAGTATATAGATTCGGTGTTGATCAACACAGAGTTGATGGCATTCGTGAGCTACATTACAATCAGGGGTTAATAATGACAAATTTGTCATAAAATACATGAACCTCGCGATCGACCCTCGATGAAAAACGGACTTTCACGGAAATTACTTTACGGACTTTGACATTGTAATAAGCAATTCCCGACGTGGGGTATCAACACCTACGTATGCGCACTAGACGAGTGTTTGTAGAGCAGATGGTGATTTGCTGAGGATCGCGCAGATACGCGCTTCTCCGCAGCCGCATACACGGGGGTGTACCGGCAGAAACATACGCGTCTTAGAAGTTAAAAGAACGTACACGTGACAGCCGGGGCCAACCTCGTGTTTCCAACCGCCCAGCTGCTAACTATTTTGGCCCTTCCAGGCAAGCTGTTTATAGGCAGCGAGCACGTGAATAGCACGTGCTAGCCCTCCTCGGCATTGCGCGACCAGTTGCCAGCTAGTAGACGAGTACCTTAGGCCGCCTCACTTTGGAGTTACAGCCAATAATCAATAAATTTACGAACGAAGCAAAGAAGCAGGGTGCCAGTCTACCCCCGCTGGTAGTGAGCTACAAACCCGCCCCCCCCCCCGAGTCATCCAGCTGTTGTTGAACCTTGACAATCAACTTACTCCCATCCCTTTAAATAGTAGTAGTTAGTATGCGATCGTTGTTTGCACACGATAGACATTACGCACGTGAATGCATGCGGTCTAGTTCGCCTGCACTGTATATTTATATCGTCTGGGTTTGATTGAGTATTTAATATGCACAACAAGAGTACATAAATGATCTACGTACATCGGTTATCATTACCTGTGCATCTGTTATATTACTGTTGTATACCTGTCGCGTCGTACTATACATATATACTATAACTTTATATATATATATATATATATAATACCAATATATCAAGTATATTATATAGTAACTATCTCTATCTTATTGAAAACAGATTCATTAAAATCACATATATAACGGGTACTCGAATCTAATATGAGCACCCTCCAAGGCCGTAAGCCAGCTTTCATATGAATACATCGGCAGGGGCGCGGTCTCGTTTTCTTAAATGTGGCAAAATATAAGCGCGGCCAAAGCAACGAGGTAGTGAGGCGCAGCATCAGCGACCGCAGCGGCGCGGCGCAGGTACGTGTGGTCATTAATTGGCAAATTCTTATTATCGGCGTGAGGGGGGACCCCTCACCCCCCCCTCCGCACGGAGGGGGCCCCTCACCCCCCTCCCGCCCACGATAAACGATTTTTGCGCAATTGATTACCAACTAAAATGGGAGCGATCTGGGTGCAGACCTGGAGCGTGAAATCTCTGCAAATGTCAAACTGAAAAAAAAGAAAAAAAACGGGTGATACTTCCATCTAAGGAGGGGTTCCAACTTAATGTCATTCCAATGCGTCATAATAGCATTATTATATAGATATAGTATCACAGGCAGCTAGATAAAGGAAGTTTCCCTTTATCTTTACTCCTGACTATAGTCATGGTCATGGTCACTCATATTAGTTTGTGCGTTTAATGTCCTTTAGGTTAGGGTTAGGCTGTTAGGGTACTGCGCATTATAACATCGATTAATCATTACATCAAATTAATCGATCATCAAAGTTGGGGAACACTCCTATACGGAGCGTAGCCAAAAATAAAACATCTATTCAGTGAAAATGTCTTCGACTGATATAGCAGTCTTCTCTACGCGCCCTCCTACTTCCTGACCAGTCTGAAGTGAACAAACGAAACAGCCATCTGCCACTGTCTGTCGACGGCCGGGCCGCCAAACCACACACCCCACCCCACCCCTGGGGGCTTTTTTGTTCTTTCTTTTTTTTTGCTCGGGGGGGGGAGCTCAGGGGAAGGTTCGTACAAACCCCCCGAACCCCCTCTGGCTACGGGCCTGGGCACTCGATCATGATGGTATCGGAATGAGATCGAAGAGTTAAAAAAAAATCCCGTGAACCGACTTACCCAAGTAGACTACCTCGCACAGATTTGGATCAGTATTATTATGTATGGTTTCTTGTATAGACACCTAAATTACAGTTCATATAAAAAGTTCTGGGTACCCAGTAAAACAAACGCCGTGACTCGGCGATCATTGGCGACCATGGCGACCACAGCACGATGTCTGGCGTTTCCACCACGCTTATACCACACTTATGGCAACCTTGACGCGCTCTGGGCCCATTTTCCGTCGCCGTAGCAGCGCAGTAAGGACGCCACCCCGGTCTGACGGGGGTAGGGCGAGCGGAAGGAGCGTCATGCTCACACCGGCAGCATCACCACAGACCAATGAATACGTGTATTCGCTATAGTCTCTAACATCACCTACATAAGTGAAAATAAAGTGGGTTCGCTGCTTCTAATAAGTACACTTTATTTCGGTACAGCGAAAGTAAATTTTAGACGTGGTAGTGACACTTATCAGTTAACAGTTCTGCAACAACATCGCAAGTAAAAAAAAAACCATAAACAGTCTTATCCATATCACTGCCTCTGTGACAGTGTCAAGTCTGCTTCGTTATGAAATTATAGACATACAAAAAGAATGCTCTTAGCAAATCGACAACACTCGGATCGATTTGAAACGTGCAAGTGGGTTTCATGCGCGTACGTGTTTCAAGGGCATCATAAAAAGATTTTTGCAGGCTAGTGGATTCAGATAGTACACATCTAGTTTCCATTACCCTAGCCGGCGGCATGTCGATGACATGACGAGTGTATAATATAGACTCTATATAATCTATATAACCTATATATCTATAGAATCGATATACATCTATATATATATATAGAATCTATATAAGGAGTCTATATTATACACTCCTGATGATATAACATCGCGACGATGATATTACAAAAAAATGGTTCCTGTTTGTGCGTCTAAATTTGCCAAAAATAAGTCTGAGGCTCACTATGACATCGTCTAGCAATTTCGCTTAGTTTAGCTGTTGTATAGCTTTTGCTTTTATACACTACATTTGTTAAATCAAGACGGTTGCAATCACACTATGCGGCATTGGCTAGACGTAATATAAAACATAAATATTTCATGTCCTACAACTGTAGATACAACATGGAAATATATTGCCTTATTCAGCGGATTCGTGCATGAAAGCCCATATACTCGTTGGCACATTTCAAAACTTCAGCCATCCTTCAACAAACCCACTTATTCTAGTCAGTCATCAAAAAATACAATGTTGAAAACAACCCGTGATTCGATCACTCTGCATTAATAACTCGATAAACTTATTGCTGCAATAACCGAAACGTACAATTGGTAAATAATATATCACATCATTTGAATGTATTATTGAATGTAACAAAATACTGACTATTTCATCACTTGACGTTTAGAATTCAATGATCCAAACAAACCATAAATTAAGTTACCACACTGTGAAATATGAAATCCAATATAGTATAATATTGCCTATGATTAGTTTTGACTTGATAAACCATTCTTCAAATGTGGTTACCTAACGATATAAGTTACCTAATATAAGGATTGTCTGCATCATGAATAATATCTTGTATAATGAGATAAATTTTAGAATCCAAAGATATGATTTTATTTCCCAAACCATCATAAAACGTTTTCTAATAAATTTCAAATTATTTAAAAAAAAACATTAAACGAATTCTATAGTGTACTGGTCCTATGGTGGGATATAGATATAACAAGTTGAACCCAGTCTGCCACTGCTAAACATTTATTGATAGCATGTTGACAATATGAAGTACTACTAGATATTTGATTGAAACTATAACTAGACTGTGTTGGTACTGCTTGCTGGGTTCGTTATCCTCTTCTAATTAGGCGTCAGGGGGGTCAATGCAGAGCTCTTTTTGTGCTGTTGTACACGTGTATGTTGGCAAACGGTTAGCCAACTGACATGCAGCAACACATATTTATGCCATTCTCTACCGTAAAACAACTAAAAATAATCCTATTCAGCTAGGCCTGATTTTAAATGATCATTCGTGCTTTTTCTTCAGAGGTACCATAACGCTGCTGATATTTAGCATGAAAAGCAAAATAACAGCATATCCCAAATTCAAAGTCTCTATAAGCAAAAAGACTCCTGACCAATTGTAATGCTTTGCCACGTATGCCAGCGGTAGACCGGCAAGCATACCTCCCACTGCAAGTAAATGCAGAAATGTACATTTTATCATTATCGTATTATAAGCAAATCACAATTGGCTATGTAAATGGATTTTCTGAATTTAGTGATCTGCGAGTCGCTCAATATTATAAAATTAAGAGCTAATAATGCATGTATTATTGGCTCTTGATATAATCCTATGCTCTATTTATATGCTTCTTTACCATTCTATCTATAAGTTATTATATCATCATAAATTACGAAGGTACCACAAAGAGTACAAAATTTATTACACAAAGACCTGATCACTCATCAAGATTATTACATTAATACCATCAGTTAACTGGTTTCTGATAGTCAGCATCACAAATGAAGCATCTACGGAACAGCATCTACGAAATGTAAGCCGAGACTCGATCACATTTAAGATCCTATATAGTCTCTACTCACATCGACACGTGACACAGCATCATGTTTCAGAACACAGAGAACAGTCGATCAAGATGAAATCGGTTCGAGAGAAATGTGATAGATATCTTGATAAAACAGTGTTCACTTGTGATTCTGAATGAAGCATGCTGTATTTACTAACGAATAAACTATCAAAATTGACCTGTTCATCTCTTCTTTATTCTTCCTTAAATTTGAATTTTAAAATTACTGCCCGAGAATCCGGACCGACCCAATAGCAGTCCAGAAATTGGAATTCTACTGTATACAACCAAAACACCTGGGTACCCACTCAAGGAATAAGTACAACAAATAGTTCGTGGCCGAATTTTAGGTGATATTTCCATGTGCAGCCATGTCGGGTATGTTTCTAGTAATAAAGCCGAGTGATTTAAATACTCCTAAGGAAATCTCTTTTTTAATGCTCCTAAGAAAATCTCATAGTTGCAAACTATAGCAGACCATCATTCATTTTTAACCCCATTTCTTGATGCAATTAAATTATACTTACAGTTTGCTGCCAGGGCAACAAACGCATGTGAAGTACCACTCAGATGCGTCGGTGCACACTCTGAGGCCACAACTCCAAATATGCAAATAGCTCCATACAGACATAATCCAATGCAGAAGCCCACACCTGTGATGAGCACCTTGTAACAAGAATCAAAAACACCAGATATACTTAAATCCAGTATAACAACACCATACACTGCCTTATATGTAGAACGTATTGTTTATTACTAACCTATTTATAATGATCGATCGATCAATGAATTTATCTATCGATCCATGCATCTATCTATATATCTACCCAACAACCCACCACCCACCAAAATCCATCCATCCATCCTACCATCCATCCATTATCCATCCATCCACCATTCCTTGCATCCATCCACCCATTCATCCATGTTCTCTCTCTATATATATATATATATACTAGCGGGATACCCGGCGTTGCCCGGGGAAATCAGTTGCGTTACTGAGTTGGTGACCGCTTGGTTGAAAGGAAAATACCCAAAAAATCTAACTATCTATCTATCCATGCATCCATGCATGCATGCATCCATCCATCCTATTCCATGCCATCCTATCCCATCCCATCGCACCATATCCCATGACATCCCATCGCACCGCATACGCATTCCATCCCATGCCATGCCATGCCATCGCATGCCATCCCATCCCAAACAGTAAAAAATAATAAGAAATCAAAAGATAAAAGACATTAAATATAAAAAATAAAAATTTAAAAGTAAGAAAGTAAAAATAATACATACTAAAGAGGTAGGTAAAGGGAAAAAATGGGAAAATAAGTTCCCCAGCTGGGACTTGAACCCGGAATCCCGGTGTAGGAGACGAATGTTCTAGCGATTTGGCCACTGCGCTGTCAAGGGTATACACACGTACATATTCGTATTACACGTCCATATACACGTATCCATCCATCCATCCCATTCCATGCCATCCCATCCCATCGCACCGCATCCCATCCCATCCCATCCCATGCCATGCCATCCTATCCCATCTCATGCCATGCCATGCCATCCCATCGCACTGCATCCAATCCCATGCCATGCCATGCCATCGCATGCCATCCCATCCCAAACAGTAAAAAATAATAAGAAATCAAAAGATAAAACACATTAAAATTAAAAAATTAAAAATAATGAAATAAAATTATATAAAAAATATAATAATATTTGATCTGTAACCTACATAGGCTACCGTGAAGTGTTCCCGTCAGTTTGCGGCTTTGCGCTATTATTATCATCTACGATAGTTTATTCTGGATTTTTACTAAAGGTTTAAATGTAGTAAAAAAAATTGAGAAATTAACGGTGAAGTGGCAGAAGTACATAGTAAACAGTCCAAAAATAAAGAAACAGGCATTTCCCGAGGTGGGATTCGAACCCAGAATCAATGGTTTTGGAGCCCGATGCTTTATCCATTCGGCTACTGGGACGGTATGGTTACAGACCATGATTCACACGTTGGAGATGTTTGGCCTGTACGCACCGCCATGTATTGACGAATTGAATTTTTTTACTTTTTTACTTTTT